AATAATGAAAAAAAAACCTCTAAGATGTGCAATCAGAGAAATGGCTCGTTGACTAAGTTAGATTTTAGAAATCAATGTAGAACTCTTTGTTGTTCTACAACTCTTTCATCAAATTAAAGAGACTGCAACAACAGGAATGAATGTGAGCAAGACATAAAGTATTTAACTTTTATTACATAACAATATAGGGAGACTCTGGTCTAAATGCAGTTGACAGAAAGTATCCCAAAGATTTGCTTTGAAGACAAGTCTGCAACAGGCATGCTAAACAAAATAGGGGTAATAATAATATTGAGCTCAAATTGTGTAGACCAGAGAGTAAAAGAGATGACATTTATAGGCTTCACCTAGTAAATGTCTTGTTTTTAGCCAATGCTGCTAAATAAAAAGTAACAATGATTCTGAATCAAATCATATATTTTCATCTATTCAAGGAATCATTTCTTTGCATTCCTTCTGTGGGGATAATGTCATTGAATAGTAACTAAAGACATGTATATATGTTTAAGGATAGAGAATGAATCTTCAGTCATCATCACTCTAAATAAAAATCTCTCTGCTTTGTACTAAACGGAAACAGGGACAGAGGAAAGCAGGAGAGAACAAGAGAGGAAGAGAGAAAACAAATCTGTCCAAACCAGAAATGCTTAAAAAACAAATATTACACTTAAGTGTCACTATTAACACAAAACAGGTGGTTAAAACAAACATTTAAGAGTTAAGTATCTTGCCCAAGGTCCCATAATGAAGTTATCCAAATATCCAATCCAATCTTAAACCATCAATACTCTCTGGATGGTCCACTCAACTGGACTTAGCAAACCATAATTAAAATGGTGAAATGCTTCTGTATAGAAAAAATACTGCACTAAAGTCCAACCTGAAACAAAGAATGACTTTTTTTACACACCACAACCAAAATGATTTTTGCCACTGGAAAAACAAAACTTGTTTTATTTTGTATTCCTTGGAAAATAAACTTATTTAGAAGTAAGTATAGTTTAATGGCATTTACTGCTAGAGTAAAAACTACTAAAATGAACCAGCTAACAATATTATAATTAACATAACTTGTAACTCCGAGAATTATGCATACAACAATGACTTCCAAAGACAAATTCTCCTGGGGCAGGGTTTTGTTTAGAGATATTTAGATCAAAACCTGTCTTACAAAAGACAAAAGTAGTAAAACCTCCCCGAAAAATATGTCCACTTGATGTTTAAGTTAGAGATCAAAGTTCTCCAAACACAAGGCTCCACAAGTCTCAGAGACAAAGAGAAAATCCTGAAAGCAGCTCAGGACAAGAGGTCTGTAACCTACAACAGTAGAAACATTAGATTGGCAGACCTATCCACAGAGACCTGGCAGGCCAGAAAGGGCTGGCATGATATATTCAGGGCACTAAATGAGAAAAATATGCAGCCAAGAATACTATATCCAGCTAGGCTGTCATTGAAAATAGAAGGAGAGATAAAAAGCTTCCAGGACAAGCAAAAACTAAAAGAATTTCCAAACACCAAACCAGCCCTACAAGAAATATTGAAAGGGGTCCTCTAAACAAAGGGAGAGCCTAAAAGTAACATAGACCAGAAAGGAACACAGACAATATACAGTAACAGTCACCTTACAGGCAATACAATGGCACTAAATTCATATCTTTCAATAGTTACCCTGAATGTAAATGGGCTAAATGCCCCAATCAAAAGACAGAGTATCAGATTGTATAAAAAAACAAGACCCATCGATATGCTATCTGCAAGAGACTCATTTTAGACCCAAAGGCAACTCCAGATTTAAAGTGAGGGGGTAGAAACCACTTACCGTGCTAATGGACGTAAAAAGAAAGCTAGGGTGCCAATCCTTATATCAGACAAATTAGATTTTAAATCAAAGACTAAAATAAGAGATGAGGAAGGACACTACATCATACTTAAAGGGTCTATCCAACAAGAAGATCTAACAATTGTAAATATCTATGCCCTGAACATGGGAGCAGCCAATTATATAAGGCAATTAATAACAAAATCAAAGAAACACATCAATAATAATACAATAATAGTAGGGGACTTTAACACCCCCCTCACTGAAATGGACAGATCTAAGCAAAAGATCAACAAGGAAATAAAGGCTTCAAATGACACACTGGACCAGATGGACTTCACAGATTATTCAGAACATTCCATCCCAAAGCAACGGAATACACATTCTTCTCTAGTGCCCATGGAACATTCTCCAGAATAGATCACATCCTGGGTCACAAATCAGGTCTCAACCGGTACCAAAAGATTGGGATCATTCCCTGCATATTTTTGGACCACAATGCTTTGAAACGAGAACTCAATCACAAGAGGACAGTTGAAAAGAACTCAAGTACATGGAGGCTAAAGACCATCCTACTAAAGAATGAATGGGTCAACCAGGAAATTAAAGAAGAATTAAAAAAAATTCATGGAAACAAATGAAAATGAAAACACAACTGTTCAAAATCTCTGGGATGCAGCAAAGGCGGTCCTGAGAGGAAAGTATATAGCAATACAAACCTTTCTCAAGAAACAAGAAAGGTCTCAAATACACAACCTAACCCTACACCTAAAGGAGCTAGAGAAAGAACAGCAAAGAAAGCCTAAACCAGCAGGAGAAGAGAAATAATAAAGATCAGAGCAGAAATCAATGAAATAGAAACCAAAAGAATAGTAGAACAGATCAACGAAACTAGGAGCTGGTTCTTTGAAAGAATTAATAAGATTGATAAACCCCTGGCCAGACTTATCAAAAAGAAAAGAAAAAGGACCCAAATCAACAAAATCATGAATGAAAGAGGAGAGATCACAACCAACACCAAAGAAAAGAGAATAGGAAAATGTGGCCTCGGAAAAGAGTTGGAACATGAGTTCCACCGAAACAAAAGGAAGGTTAACGTGAGTGAAAACCTAAACCCAGGACTGTGGGTACCCTAAAGCTCTACTTACCAGGCAAAGGAGGGGAGGTCATCTGCTGAGAGAGAAGGAAGAGGACAGTGTAAATCTGACTGAAGACGCCTCTTCATAAATTAGATCGGTGTAAGTATGAAAGAAGGGCTAATTTTGCTTTTTACTGTATTTTACACCCAAATTGCTTTATTCTTAAATGAGTAAAAGTAAGGGGCCTTTTTCAGAAATATCATTTAGGTCATCAATTTAAACAATGAGAAGAAATACCAGGAAATAGAAATGGGAAAGAGAACCTTTTTCCTAAAACGCCTCACCACCTTATCTTTCTACTTATAATAGAAAAATAGCACCTGAAAAGTGGAGTCTTAAAATATCATTACAGAAGAAATATGTCCACTTTTCACATTTTCTACACATACACAGCTTTTCCACTGGGATTCTACTTTGCACTTTCTATTAACAGTGGTAAGAATCAATAAGAACTGTATATTATGTTAAAGAACCTGAAATATATCACATCATGCTATCATTTGCCGGATCAAACAGGACTCCATGAAAAAGGCAAAAAGAAGTATCATAATAGCTCTATATATTGATTGTTTACCCTGTACCAGATACTGTTCTAAGTGCTACTTATATGAACTCATTCAGTGTTTACAACAACCCTTTAGATCAGATAATTACCCCAATTTTACAGATGAAAACACCACAGATGAAAAATCTACCTAAAAAATTCAAGCCATCTGGGACTCTATAGCTCATACTCTAAATCTGATGATAGAGTACAGAGAATACATAAAGTCCTGAGGTTGAAATGAGAAGATCTACCTTCAAATCTAAGTTCCACCACTTACTAGTTGGTTGACCCTAGAGAAATCATGAAGATCTACCTTCAAATCTAAGTTCCACCACTTACTAGTTGGTTGACCCTAGAGAAATCATGTTCCCTAATCTTTGTTCCTCATCAGAATGATAATCTGTCCTGTGTAACCCATACACCAACTGTGAGACTCAAAGAAGACAGGTGCTTTCATAAACAGTAATATATATCATGCCATTACTATTAGAAAACAGCAGCGAAGGTAAAGTGCATAGGGTGTTAACCGTATCATTTTCGGAACCGTATCAGAAATTCTCATGCCTTCATTTACATATCCATGCTCACATGCAAAAGAAATAACTTCTAAAATTCAGGTTTCAGGGGTGCCTGGGTGGCTCAGCCAGTTAGGCGTGTGACTCTTGATTTCGACTCTTGATTTCAACTCAGGTCACAATCTCAGGGTTGTGAGACTGAAACCCACATTGGGCTCCACACTGAGTGTGGAACCTCCTTGGGATTCTCTCTCTCTCTCCCTCTGCCCCTCCCCCTCCCTCTTTAAAAAAAAATTTAGGTTTCCAATTGTGCTCTGTTAGTTTCTCTTCCCAATAAAGATGGACAAATTACTTAATGGACTCAGAACTTGTGTTATTCACCTAAAGAGTAGAAATAATACATCTCTCTACATACTGCTGGGACGATCAACTGAAATAAAAGATGTAAAGGTTCTACCATAGAGCCTCGGGCACTTACAAATCCAAGTAGCGCTGGCTGTTTTGGTTATCACTTGTTGTACCATTCAGCAGAATCACAAAACAAAACCAAAATTTCAAGGGTGTATAGGTTTGTACATGTAAAATAATTTCAAGATTCTTCTAAAAATCCACAGACTACAGCAAATTTCCCTCCAACGTTCATGCTGCATTTTCTATGTCTCTCATGAAATTTTAATTAAATTAAAACAATTTTTCTTCTCATTCCCCTGGTGACTCCTTTCATCTTCATTTCGCTCTCAGTCAAAACCTGCTCGGTCTGATTCTTGCTTTCTGACTACTTTATCTTTTGAAGCATAGAACTTTGAATCCACTCTTCTGGTAAACCTAAAACTTCTGACATTTTATGCACTCATAACTAGATTTCTACACATATCTCTCCTGGAGTAAGGGCTATCATTTCAGTTCCTCATTAGAGTTCAAGATAATGTTAGTACACCACCATGCTCTTCTCTTTGTTTTAGTACAAGCATACTGACCTTGAGGTGAGACTGAAGACAACAGCAAATCCAGGAAGAAAATGTGAAAGAGAAAGTCAGAAAGAATTAGTAAGGACAATATTCAGGAAACAATGTTATTCATAGACACAGACAAAACAGAAAAGCACAGGATTAGAGAAGGGAAAGGGGTAACACAGATTTTGCACAGGCACTAAAAATTAGTAATTTCAGATTTTCAACTCTCAACAAGTGTGTTTTCATATTAGATTACACCATTGTACCTTAATGTAAGTTTCAAGGAAAATTTTTGTCTAAAATTTACCATTTCTTGAAGCAGGGGGAAAAAACATTTATTAAACACAAAGGAAAAGAGAAGAAGGTCAGCACCTCCCCCTTTTCATTTAAGTAGCTGTGATTTCACAACTTAAATCACCTTAATTTTATATATACCCACCTTATAACTGACTAGTCCTTTACCCATCCCCCACACTCCATTTCTTAGATCCAAGTTATGCATAACAAAAGCAGAAAAACATCGAGAGCTTCAAACATTCTCTGGAATACAGAATTCTAATTGATGAGGAAGAACTTGAAATAATGGCCCCAAATGTGAAAACAATAACTTTTTCCTAACTAGAACCTCATTTTTTTCTCATTCCAAATCTACCAAAATCTACCTCAAATGGTGCAATCTAAAAGCAATAATGAACAAGAATATACAGCTCTATAAACATCACTCCATTTCTAATACTCCTCAGCAGTTAGAGATGCAAAGATTTGCCATGCTCAGTATTCCTATATAGCATGAAGCCCCAGTAGTTCATTATTGCTTTTTATAACAACAGGCAGTTTTTCCTTTTTAAAAATTAATCAATTTCACTGAAGTTAGTATTATCCCCAAATACTTAAGACTTCTAATGGCCAGTGCCATCCAGATCATCTTCAGGATCTAAATTTTACTTGCAGAATCTAAAACAAAAGGTTTATTTCTTGAATGCAAGCACCATTTCAATTTGTGTTTTAATGTTTTTTAATGTTCCAGTATTTAAAACCAGGGTTTTTAAAAGTCATTGTGAAAATAATGAAAGGTAAGGATGACAAAATTTATCATTCCCACTCTATAAGATAAAGAGAAATGAAAAACAGAGAATAAAAGTGACTTCCTCACAATCACACAGTGTGTAAGTGGCAGATACAGGATAAAAATGTGGGTCTGTTGACATCTCCCTGGGCATATTTTATATGTTCTGTGATGCTTAGAGATTCCTAAAGGGAATGTATAAAATAAATCCATGCATCTTTGGCATATTTAACACAGTAGAGAATGCAGACAATGTTCAAATGCAAAAATAGGCCAATCTCTAAATGACTGTTCCCAATTTTCTATCTTTGTTGGTTATGACACAATAAATCAGAAAAATTTTAGGTCAACAATGACACTAACTGAAATTTCTTATGGTTGCATGGCTTTAAATAAGACCTAGGTAAGGTAAATCTGTGGGGGAAAAAATTAAGCTTACTCCTATCAACAGTGAGCAACTTTTTACCTATTTCATGGTTCATGAGTCATATTTCACTTTGGCATCAAACTATAGTTCTTGGGAAATTAATATGGAAGAAAAAAGTCTGCATATAGAAAAATTCTACAGAATTCTAATGTTTGCCCCTCTATGTAAAAACTTAAGGTAACAACTAAACAAAAATTCCTATAAAGACTGTACTAGTAAATTACAAGGTGCTGTGCCCACAAGAAATTTTGGCAAGATGACCTAACAGAATTGATTACGCAAAGCTGTTTAATTTCTTTTTTTTAAATGAAATCAGTGAAATTCATCAAGGAGGAAGAAAGAAACAAGCAGCTTCCCCAGAAAGCAAGCTGAAGCAAGCAGGATCAGATAAAGAACCAGTCATCTTCAGTTATCATACTCTTAGTATCTTTCTTTCCTTTTTTTTTTCCAAACACAGCCCATTCTCCCTCAAGCAAGAACACGCAACCCCTGCAGCAGTAGTCACTTCTCTTCTACTCAAACTACATGAAGACCACATTTTCCGACACTGAACTTCATGGGTCAAAGATACATAACCATGAATTTAAAAGTAAGGAAATTCTTCTCAAAGGAACCATTTTCCTCATGAATTGTATACTAGTTTATGCCAAAGCTATATATAGCTTAATACTAATTTTTAGACAGAAGGTATCGTAAGACCTTAAATGGAGTATCAATTTGGCATTTCTTTAAAAAAAATTATAAGTATGAACACTAAATATGTAGGTTTACATTTTTAGCTTATACTGTGTAGATGGCTAAATATACTGTGATACCAATATGAAGCAATCATAAACATAAAGCCCATTTTCCCAATAAAATGGTCCAAAAAAAATTTTTTAGGTCTACCTACATAAAAAACAGGAAGTAGGTAAAACAGTCAAATATCTAATTATAATAGTAAATATATTCATTTGGTTACACACACATTTAAAATGGGGTACATTAGAAAATAAAGTTAATTTGGAAATACTTTCTTCCACTTCCACATTCTCTGAAACAATTTTATGCACTCTCTTTGCATGCATCTTTAATATCTATTCACCAAGGACAGAAGATGCACCATTACTTTATGTATCACTAAGATAAAAAAAAATACTAATTAAACTAAGCCATGCCATTATTTACACATGTATCCTAGATTCAGAGATGTTAAAATGTAAAAATAAAAGTTATAATTGGTATTTCATTGTGACAAAAGAGGTAGGAGGTTATCTATACTTCTATCTAACCTACAGATCAAAAAATCCCACGGGATTATATTAATTATATAAAAATATTTTATAGATATGTTTTACTTATACTTTTACAGAAGGAAAAGTATAGGCACAACTGTAAACACATTACAAACATATAGAAGAAATGAATTAAAAATATTTGCAATATCACTAATTAAGTATAATAAGGGACTAAAATAAAATCTCCATCTGTTTGATTGATGAAAGGGCTGAATATACAGGTAATGGAAAGATAAAAATGGAAGAAATGTGGGATGATTAGACAGTGAAACGAGGAAGGAGCTCTGTCTCTTTGTATTAATATATACACTGATTAGGCCCTCAATAATGTGGAGTCACACAACAGAACATGATAGACACTATAAGAATAGCACAAATAAACAAAAGAGAAATTACTACCCCAGGGAAGTCAGTAAAGCTGGCTTTCTTTTCCAAAAAGGTAACAGTTAAAAGGGGTCAGATTCCCAAAAACAAATACAGAAAAAGAAAATTTTAGTCAAAGAGAAAAGAGTAAGAAAAAGCAGATAAGAAAAAAGGATTCATCTTTTAATTTTGAGGTCCATTTTTTTACAAAAACAGAGGTAATTCTACTAAGATTATCAAAACACAAATTTAAAATATCATCCTGTAAACTAGTTCACATTTCCCAAAACATTTTAGGAGATTTATGAAAAATAAAGACAACTCCATTTTCATTACATAAAATTTCAGACACTAATAATCTTTAAAAGCAAATCAAAAACAAAAGGCCAATCCTTGACCCATGGGATTTAAGCCTAGCAACTATCTTCCCTAATTTCTTCCAATACCACCAGAAAAATTCTTTCTCTTATGCATACATACATGCAAATAACACACCAGATTATATCTCACTCCTGAGAGGATAGGAAAACAACCTCAATATTCGTGTCCAAGATCAGTTCGGTACCTTGATCTTGATGCACAGAAGTACAGATTTATCTCACTTATCAAAATGAGATTAAGTTACTACTTTAGAAGCTCAGTTAATTCAGGGGCTAACTACCTTGAGCCTAAATTCTGAGCAAAGTGAGAACACTCTTGCTTTAAAAAAAAAAAAAATCGGGGCGGTGGGGAGGAGACAAAATCAACTAAAGAGGCTCTAAATCACATGACTAGATATACTCTACTTTTTAAATAAAGCCAGTTGTTTATAAATCAGAATGTAATTCCCTTAGAAATAATATTATACATGCAGTTTAGGTTTTCTTACTAGCCCACAAAATTTAAGTTTAGTCATGATGCAAGAGCCCAGAACTAATAGTTCAAGATGAGGTCTAAAAAAGATGGTTAGCAAAGAAAATAAAGTTAACCATCAAAAAGTGAAAAAACTAAGTTTCCTCCATTATAAGTACTCATAGGACTGGCCTAATAATGTGTGTGTATATATGTGCGTGTGAATGAATAAGTAACAAAACTTGTCTCCGACTCTCTTGCTTCCTCAGAATGGTAGCAGTACCAGTATCTTGGCTTCCCCTCTCTATTTCACGTCTCTATGCCAGAGTTCCAGGACCTGTAATTAAAAGTCTAGGGTCCAAAATTACCTACTAGTGTTCCAACCAAACAATCTTTCAAGTCACTGTGATTTCATATTGGTCTTAAAAATTAAAAGACCACACTCAGGGGCCTAGGTGGCTGAGTCGGTTAAGCGTCTGCCTTTGGCTCAGGTCATGATCCCGGGGGTCCTGGGATCGAGTCCCACATTGGGCTCCCTGCTCGGCGGGAAGCCTGCTTCTCCCTCTCCCACTCCCCCTGCTTCTGTTCCCTCTCTCGCTGTGTCTCTCTCTGTCAAATAAATAAATAAAATCTTTAAAATAAATAATTAAATAAAAGACCACACTGAAGAGTACAAAGTTCAAGAAGTCCCTTCTCTATGAAAATCCTATATCCAGGGGCACATATTAATTGGGTATATTGAGTATTACTTCTCAGGAGAGCTCAACCAAACCTTAAACTGAAACCTTATCGCTGAAATGTCCAGCTAGCACACAAGTCATGGAAAGATGCCTGTGCTAGCACCATCACAAAGGAAAACACAACAGCTGCTCTTTGTTGAAGTTCTGGTCTTCTGGGGCCAGAAATACCTCTTTATTGAGTCCAGACTGACAGAAAGGCTAGAAGTCAGACATGGAAAGACTGGTACCTGGCGACAAAGCAACCCACACGCCAGTTCCAAAGTACCTGTCCTCTAAGACAGCATTCCAGCATGTGGGAAAAGCCTTTGACCTCAGCAAGATCTTCAAGTGAA